GCCCACCAAGCAACCCTGGGGATCTCTGGTTTAATTTCAGAGTCGCTGGCCCATCAGAGATCAAAGAGACAAATACCAGTTTCTTTTGTCAGGGATTTTTATTCCCTTGTCTCAGAGAACTGGAGGACGAGGCCACTTCACGTGCAAGTCTCCAGTCCGTGGGTCTGGCGAGCCAACAGCCAAGTGTTTTGTGCTCTCATGCTCTACAACGTTTTGTCTGACATCGTGGGGGTTTAGCTGGGCAGGAAATAGCCCCTGCCGTGGAAAGATCTTCTTTCATGCTTACTCATGCTTCTCTGCAGATTGTGTGGGGTGCATAGGGCAGCATAAGCACGTAAATATTACCTGATAACATGCGGAGTGACCATTCTCATTGTGCTTGCAACACACACGCATTTTTTTCCATTCTAAACACTGCTGACATTCTTGTGTGTCTAATCCCGACACTGAGGAAGAGGAACATCGAACTGACCGGGTCTAGTCTCCAGCTGTGAGCTTGTGAGCCCTCAGCTCATCCCTGCAGCCTGGGCAAGGGTGGCACCCGGCCTGCCTGTGTTTCCAATCTTCTGATTAGTATGATCCAGGCAGGCACAGGAATCCCCACTCCTTTGGGTAGAGCTGGCTAGTTTGGCAACTGCCTTCACTGCGCATTTCCAACATGCAGACCTGAAAAATTCTTTCGACATGCCCCATGCACACACCACACAGTGACAGTCATGGCCAGGGGCTCCCCAGTTTTTCTATAATATTGCACAGGATACCAGCTGGCTAAACAGGCTGACAGCAGTGACTTGGGTCATACCAGGGCTATAGGGATACAAAGGGGGAAGGATACAGATCCTGGGCACAGGGGAAGAGGATGTGTAGGAACACAGAGAGGGCTTCCCCTCCTCATTTGGGTGCCTTGTGGGTGGGTTTGGTTGCCACCTCGCTGTACAGCACCCGCGCCTCATCAGCAGGCCTGGCTCTGGTTTTCGACTTTGTCGCATGAGCGTTTGAGGCAGACAACTCTATGTGTGCGTAGGCGACTTCCGAGCCCTGCTGGGGGAGGACAGAGAAGCAGTGAGGGGGGTGCATGGACAGGATTTGGAGGAGGGAGTGGAGAAAAGGGCCATGGCGTCGGAGCTAGCAAGGCCGGAGGAGGCCAGGAGTGACGTGAGCTGCAACCTAAGTGGAGACTTGCCCTGAAATGAGCCAGGGGCAATGCAGGGACGTGTTTGATGCTCCGCTGAGGCAGGAGAAGTTAAGGAGTGGGTGTAACTGGCGCAGCAGCCGCCCTGCAGAAAAAGAGCCGCAGAGCAGCACAAATGGATTTGAGCCAAGAGGGCCCTGCTGCCGTGAGACAGCCCAACCCCCCTCTGGGCGTTGTGAACAGGAGCATCGCACGTACGGCAGCTGAGCTAACGGCCCCTCTCCACCCGGCACTGGTGAGGTCTCCGCTCAGCCCCCTGCCCCAGCATTGCCCTGTCTCACGGGAGTGTTAGGTAAGAGAGTAAGAAAACGTTACTAACTCTGAGGGTAGCTAAGCCCAGAACAGGTGACCCAGCAGTGCAGGGGGATCCCCATCAGGGGGGATTTCAGAGAGGAGCTGGACAAACACCCGTGGGGAAGGTCCAGGTTTGGGGGATCCTGGCTCAGCAGAGGGGCTGGACTTGAGTCCCTTCCAGCCCTACTTTGCCGTGATTCAGATCAGACTTTGGGGTGATGGGGAAAGGAGTGACCAGTTCTCAGCCCTCCCCACACCTGTAAAACCCAGAGCCACTTCCCTTTGTGGCTTTTCCTTGCCTGCCCCACCCCAGCCAGGCCGCTGCCTCTCAGCCCTGGGCACAAGACTGAGGCCCATGGACCCATTCATGTTACCTGGTCCATCTGTGCGGCTTCTGGTCGCTTCTTCTGACGCCTGGGATCCCTGTTCCTGGGGTGTTCTCTGGGCTCGGATGGCTCAGGGCCCGCCGCAGGCTTTACAACTGAAACAGACCCAGAGGAGAAGGGGGCTGATGTGGGGAGTGTCATGAGGATGCCCAGAAAGCAGCTGGTGGCAAAGGACGTGCATTGGGATGGAGCAGAAGGTTTACACGGGATGCTTAGAACTGCTCTCTGCAGTTGTTAAATATGAGGAGTTACTAATATGGAGAGGCAATGTTTGCACAAGAGATGCATTCTCTAATCAGTGTAGCTACACGGCACTGAGGGACGTATTGATGCTAATTGCGGTCACGGATGAACCCAGTGGTGAGAAACTGGGCTCAGGTGCCATTGACTTCTGGAGTGAAATCAACCCAATAGGAAAGGGTGTCCTTTGTTCCACGCCCACATGTGAGGGGTGAATTCTGTGGCGTGTGCTGGAGGGGAGGGAAGGTGCCGACACGTCCCCACTCCCGAAGTGATGTTTCCCGTGCTTCTCTCTGGACACGGCTGTGAATGGGACGGATCGGCCGTCTCAAATCAAACCGCCGCTGAGCTGTTTCTGTGACACCATATGGGATTAAAGCAAATGTAGCGATCTCTGCTTGGAAACACACCGATTTTCACAGCTGTACCCTATTCTAGACCCTGCCTTCCCATTGAGAATAAATTCCTCATTGGCCAGGGATCCCTGAGGGCTGCTTCCCACACCCACACCGTGGCATGGCGCTGTGTTGTTGTGAATGTTCCTGGCTACGCCACGTTGAGAGAGCAGATGGGAGATCACCAACCTCTTTTCTTCCTCCAGCCCCACCACAGGAGGGCAGCCAGGAGTCCGAGCAGAAGCAGGACACCGCCGACGACTGGCAGCAGGATAACGGAAAGAGGGGATGCAGCTGTGGCTGATGGAGGAAAGAGGGAAGCGGGGGTGAGAACAGCCAGACGCTCCAGGACAAGGTCTGGGCCCCACAGAGGAACCTGGCGATGCAACAGATTGGCCCTTTGCTGAGCTCTCTGTGACGTGTGTTTGTCCCTGCCTGCTCTTTGCTGCAAAGCGGGGACAGGAGACCCAGTGGTTATGGGGCTGGCCTGGGGCGCTGGCCATGCGGGTTCAATTCTCTGCTTTGCCACAACCCCGTGGGACTTGCTGTGTCCTTGCCTCCGATCCCCATCCCTGCACAGGGCTCCGAGGGGCCCCAGCTGTTACCGACACAGTGAGATCAGACATGTGGCCCGTCACATGTTCCTAGCTAGAATCGGGGGGCGATCGACAGAATGTTCATCCCCCACTTGCTTCTCTATCTGCAGGTGGCACCTGTCACCTCATCCCATCTCCCCTTCCCAAGAGAGCCCCTGAGGACGATTCTCCTCCCTTGGGAGCCTCCCAGGGATGTCTCACCTGTGTTAGCATCATCCACAGTGACGTTCACGGCCTGGCCCGTGGGGGACGGGCTCCAGCCCCCGTTCTCCTTCTTCCCACAGGTGAATTGAATCACGTGGCTGGGACCGCGGGTCACAGTCACATTGACAGAGACATTCCTGGGCTCCGCCACATCGATCTCAGAGCCTGCGATGCTGGGGGCCACCTCATCTCCACCCCTGGGGGCCGTGCAGGTGATGACCAGGGGGAGCCCTTCACCCACCGCTCCAGATGTGGGATCCAAGCTCAGCACTGGCGGGGGAAGGGGATCTGCGGGGAGCAGCAAAGGGGAGGGGTCAGCAGGCATAGGGCAGGGGGGAAAGAGGAGCTGGTGCCAAGAATTCAACTTACTCACAGCTGCCCCCTGCTCTGTCTCCACAGCCTCTTGCTTCAGCT